CCCCACCTACAGAACAGGCCAGGGGGCTTTCCACGTTCTTGAATCTTAAATATACGGTTTTCACCCCACTCCCAAACGAAGCCCCTTCCAAGGACAGCAGTTAATATCCTGGACGCTCATCCCCGACAGAGCTACAGCCTCACCGTCTCTAATGAGAGACAACTCTGAAAGACAGAGGGGCATTCTCTTTGTCGCTGCACCCACCGAATGGCTTTAGGGTCCATCTCACCATCTGTCATCGGCGCGGGGACTAGGGGGTCCTACCTGTCTCAGCCTGGGGCTGTGGCAACTCCTGCTCCGTAGCAGGGACGGTTTCTGTGGCTTCGCCGGGCATTTCTGAAGGAAGTAAAAAGGAGGCCTGAATTGACCGGGATCGTTCTGCTGCCCCCAACCCCGAGGCAGGTATTTTTCAAAAACTGCAGAAAACCGCGGCGCAAAATCATCACGAGGGTGTTTGGGGACAACCCTCCCCAAAGGAGCTGGCAAGAGCCGGGAAGTGTGACGTGACCCGCACATCGCTAACCCGGCGAGTCGCCCCTTCTTCCCCGCTCCCCTCCACTCCGCGGAGGGCGGCCTTCCCGGTCCCCGGGGGCTCGTCTGATTCCCCGTTTCCAACCCCACCCCCCACACGGCGGCCATCGCCACTGCGTTCGCACCCCGAGAGGGAGGCTCCGGCCCGGCTCCGGTCGCGGGGCACGGCAGACGCTCCTATGAACCACCCCTCTCCCCCCGTTCACGCCGCCCGGGCTGGACCTCCAGGTCTCCGTGTGCCGACTTTCGGGAATCAAGAGGGAAAAGAGGGAGCCTTAGCCCCAAACACTCGTCACAATAAGAACGACGTGTGTGAGTGTGCGGAGGGGGAGGGGGCGGACTTCCAAGGCCGTGACCCCTTCACCTCCTACGGGTGATCCTGAAGCCGTTCCCAGCAGCAGACACACTTCGCCTCTGCCCCCAACACCGCAAAGGCTCCCACCGCGCCAGCCCCGGACTAACAGCGCGGCCCGCGGCACTCCTGCCCGGCTTTTGCCAGGACACCAATCGCGGACCCCATTTTGTCCGGAGACACCAAAGCCACAATTCCCAGGGTCGAGTAGGAACCGGGGGGGCGCCACATAAAGCCTCTAACTCTCTTTAGGTCTCAGGCCCCCGGGGTGGCTTAGGCCGCGAGAAAGGCGGATGGTTGCGGATAGAGTAACAGCGAGGACACAACTTACTGTGCGGGGAACGCGGAACCAAGATGGCGGCAGAAAGAGAGCGAGCGACAGCGTGACCCACGCCTGTTGCAGGAGGAAGCCAGGCGGAGGGGGAGGGACTAGAGATCGCTTCCGGGTCAGGAGCGGCAGCCAGTCACTTCCTCTCACTAGTGACCCGTCCGCGGCCGCCGGTCTGTTCCCAGCAGGGGTGGTGACGAGTCTAAATAAGGATAAGGATTCAGAGCTGGACGCGCGGGCCTGCCGGGAGCTGTCTGCTCCGAGCCACGTGGTCCGAAGATAGCCGGCCCCTTCCGTCCCCCAGGTTGAAGCGTCTGGATACGTGAAGGAAGGGTAAATGCCACGAGAGAAGCCAGGTTGCTTCTGCAAATAGTGCAGCGTTATTATTTCGACTTTTGCTTTTCCTTTCTCAAATGATGCAGGAAATTATGAGGTTTTAAATAATATGGAATGCTACAGAGGTTGTATTCACACCATTGTAAGGTAGCAGTGACCTACAGGTTAACCCTTATTTTATTTTTGGAATACACAATTTTGACTGATGTTGAAGTCATATATAAAATTCTTTTTGCCTGATATTTTAGGCGCCTATTACATATCCTGAAACTCATCCATTTGGGTCCAGCACCCCACATTAAGTACCCATACAGTAGTATTCTTTTTATTTTTTAGAGAGGGAGAGAAAAACACTGATTTTTAAAAAAATTTTATTTTTAATTACAGTTGACATACATTTATATTAGTTTCAGGTGTACACCCCAGTGATTAGACATTACATAGCTTACTAAGTGATCATCTCGATAAATTTAGCACCCATGGCACCATACATAGTTATTAGAATATTATCAAGAAACATTGATTTGTTGTTACACTTATTTGTGCATTCACGGTTTGAATCTTGTATGTGCCTTGCCCAGGCATGGAGCCTGCAACCCTGGCATATCAGGATGATGCTCTAACCAACTGAGCTACCTGGTAGAATACTACAGGGCCCAGTAATATTCTTGAAAAGTAGAATGTAAAATCAGTGTTTTGTTAATGAAAAGGCCCTGACTCCCATACTCTGTCAGCCCCACAAAAGGACTCAACAAATACAGTATTGTATTACCTGAACCGGTTAACACTATTTGTTTGACCTATGGCTTTAAGACAATTGTGGCTGCCTTTTAAGGAAGCAGTGAACATTTAAAATGCTCTGAAAGCTACTTTAAAATTTTCAAAATCTTTACCATAATGAAGTGAGAATTAGGATTAGTGAATTAGGATTAAATGAGATAGTGAGTTTACCAGGAATGAGAAATTCTTAAATTCTCTTCAGATAGGAGAGGCAACATTGTGGAGTGATTAAGAACACGGACTATGGGCCCTGGACAGGTAACTCGGTTGGTTAGAGCGTGGACTTGTTTAAACCAAGGTTTTGGGTTTGACCCCCGGTCAGAGCACATACAAGAAGCAACCAATGAATGCATAAATAAAAGGGACAACAAATCGATGTTTCTCTCTAAAATAAAAAAACATGGACTCTGAAACCAGATTACTTTGAATCTCAGCTTGGTTACTTAATAGTGACCTTAGGCAATTAACCAATTTGTGCCTAATTTCCTCACCGGCTGATAATGGTAGTTACTTAATAGGATTGTTAGGAAGATTAAATTAGGTAAAATATGTACATTACTTAAAATGTATTTATTGTTACTATTTATAAACTTATAGATAGAATTTCTACCTAAGTAAATAAGTGACCTGGAAGATTAGTCAACGCAGTCTATTTACCTCGAGATTGTAATTGCCAATTAATTGTAATTGTCCAGCAATTGCCAATTAATCTCTTTAGACAAATAAACCTACCTACATTTTTACCATTCCCCTTTCTTTGCCAAAAAGCTCACTGACTTCTAACTCTGCTGTTAATAACTCACTAAGGAAGGGTCTATTTTCTTTCTTTGGGTTTCTTTATAAATTGGGCAAGTTTGGAGATGGAAACCAGTTCTGTGCCCTTTGTTTCTGTAATTCGTACATATATAGGAGTTGGCAAATGAAATAAGAAAGTCCATAGTCTGCCCTAGCTGGTTTGGCTCAATGGGTAGAGCGTCGGCCTGTGGACTGAAGGGTCCCAGGTTCGATTCTGGCCAAGGGCGCATGCCTGGGTTGTGGGCTCAATCCCCAGTAGGGGCGTGCAGGAGGCAGCCAATCAATGATTCTCTCTCATCATTGATGTTTCTATCTCCCTCTCCCTTCCTCTCTAAAATCAATAAAATATATTTAAAATAAAAAAAAGAAAGTCAGTAGTCTTTTTTTTAAAAATACTTGCTTGAGGATATTTTTCCCATTGCTTTTCAGAGAGAGTGAAAGAGAGAAGAAACATTGATCCACAGGTTGCCTCCTGAAACCCAGGTATGTGCCCTTGACTGGGAATTGAACACGAGACCCTTCAGTGCATGGGCCGATGCTCTAACCACTGCACCACCAGCCAGGGTAGGGAAGTCAGTAGTCTTTGAGCATTTTTCTGCTGTCTTCAGGAATCAAACATTTATTCTTACATGTGTATGATATGTTTTATAATTAATTTTATGGGCTAGTATACCAACTTTTATCCAAGGACTTTATATTGAAGTACTGACATACTTCAATATTAGACATATTGGAAGCTTAAAAGATCTCATTGAAAGTGTAACACCAGTCCTATTCTCATTCTGAGTTCTTAAGGTGAGCCAATGAGTCTTTATTAATTTTGTATTTAGGAATTTCAATTGATCCACTTTTTCCCCAAACTTGAAGACTGAACAATACATAGTACACAGAAGCTCAAATAATGCAGAATTTTGAACCATAATCTTTAATATTTTTTCTTAAAAAATTAGAAGAGAAAGAAATGCAAGGCATTTCAGTATGTTTTTAAAAAAATACATTTTATTAATTTTTTTACAGAGTGGAAGGGAGAGGGATAGAGAGAAAAATCGATGAGAGAGAAACATCGATCAGCTGCCTCCTGCACACCCCCTACTGGGGATGTGTCCGCAACCAAGGTACATGCCCTTGACCGAAATCGAACCTGGGACCCTTCAGTCCACAGGCTGACGCTCTATCCACTGAGCCAAACCGGTCAGGGCCATTTCAGTATGTTGACTGTATTATAGGGTTTGATATAAACCAAAAGATTATATTTAAAAAAAAGGGTGTGGTTATAGAGAAAACAATGTTAAAGGAAATGCAAATTCCTTTAATTTGGAATATTTTCATAAATCACAGAAAGTACCAGTCTGATAGCCTGCTTCCCAGTGTTTCTCAGAAAACAGAATGCAAACCAAAGGGGCTGTTTTTTTGTTTTGTTTTGAATCCTCACCCAAGGATATTTTTCCATTGATTTTACAGAGTGGAAGAGAGAGGGAAAGACAGAAACACTGATGTGAGAGAAACACATCGACTGGTTGCCTCCTGCACATGCCCTGACCAGGCCTGGGCTGGGGAGGAGCCTCCAACCAACACAGTGCCCTTGACCGGAATCGAACCCAGGACCCTTTAGTCTGCAGGCCAGCGCTCTATCCAGAGCCAAACGGGCTAGGGCAAAAGGGATGTTTTGTTTAGACTGGTTGTAAAACCAGAAAAAAGAAATCTGACACTTTAGAATCTATCAAACAAAATCAAATACAGAAGAAATGAAAACTTTAAAGTTATCTGGATATATAGAAAGTCCAAGTGTTTTGACAAGTATAACTGGTTTTATGTTGGTGAAGTTGGTTATTTTTTTCTAAGCTGCTTCTTTATGATGTAGACTAATTGTTCCAATTGTTCTGTAATCTAAGAAGGAGCTACGATTACAATAGTTGTAAACAATACTCTACTAGGCCATCTACACTAATAAAAGAGAAGTATGTAAATTGGTCATCACTCCGCTACAACCACCAGCCAATCAGGATGAGTATGCAAATTAACACAACAAAGATGGCAGGTTAATTTGCATAAGCAGGCATGGAGCGAAGACTAAAGGCTCCAGCCCAAGTGAAGACTGAAGACTGAAGAGGCTTGGCTTCTCTGCTGCGGCCGGACCAAAGGCCTGGGTCCCAGAGGAAAACCGGTGCCGGCAGCCAGGGGAAGGAATGCCTATTGCGTGAATCTTCATGCAACGGGCCTCTAGTAATATTATAACTTAGTAACTCACGTCTTTTGAATTAAAGTTTTGGTAGGTTTAGATGCTCAGTTTAAAATGACTTTTAAAAGATGGGCAGTGGGGTGTGGCCTGATCTATAAAACTATCAGTAAGCAAAGTAGTGACTGAATACACACTGCAGGTATAATTAAGTGTCTAAGACTTAAGGATAAAGCCTTCATTCACCTAGAATATTTATTCCCGAAATATGGATGTTGTAGTTGTATCCAGCAAGCTGAGATTAAAGTCTTGGACATATTACTGCTCAGTTACCTCTATATATAGCAACTGGTAAAAGTGAGTATAACAGAAATCTTAGAATTATCCTATATAATAAAAGCCTAATATGCAAATTGTCCCTTAGACTGGGAGTTCGACCAGGGGGCGGGGCTGGCTGGCCAACAGCGGGAAGGGAGGCCCTGGCTGGCAGCTGCTAGGGACCCTACCTGTGCACGAATTTTGTGCACCGGGCCTCTAGTCTTTATATAATACTAGAGGCCTGGTGCACAAAAATTTGTGCACTGACGGGGGGGGGGGAGGGGTTCCTCAGCCTGGCCTGTGCCCTCTCACAGTCTGGGACCCCTCGGGGGATGACCATCTGCTGGCTGAGGCCTGCTCCCCAGGGGATTGGGCCTAAGCTGGCAATCAGACATTCCTCTGGCAGCCTGGCAGCCCTCCGGGGATGTCCACTTGCCAGCGGGGAGCAGACCTAAGCTGCAGTCGGACATCCTTAGAGCTGCTGAGGAGGCAGGAGAGGCTCCCACCGCCACCGCTGTACTGGCAGCCGGCAGCCTGGCTTGTGGCTGAGCAGAGCTCCCCCTGTGGGAGTGCACTGACCACCAGGGGGCAGCCCCTGCATTGAGCGTCTGCCCCCTGGTGGTCAGTGTGTGTCATAGTGACCAGTCATTTCTAGTCTTTCTGCTGTTAGGGTCAGTTTGCATATTACCCTTTTACTATATAGGATAGAGGCCTGGTGCACGGGTGGGGGCCGGCTGGTTTGCCCTGAATGGTGTCCTAGATCAGGGTGGGGGTCCCACTTGGGTGCCTGGCCAGCCTGGGTGAGGGGCTGATGGCTGTTTTCAGGCTGCCCGCACCCCCTTCAGGGTGGGGGTCCCCACTGGGGTGCCTGTCCAGCCTGGATGAGGGGCTGATGGCTGTTTTCAGGCTGCCCGCACCCCCTTCAGGGTGGGGGTCCTCACTGGGGTGCCTGGCCAGTCTGGATGAGGGGCTGAGGGCTGTTTTCAGGCAGGCCAAGCCTGCAACTGAAGCTCCCAGTCTCTCCTTTTTTTTTTATTCTGGGATTTATTCACCTTCTGTAATTGAAACTTTGTTGCGGCTCTAGCTCCGAGGCCAGCTGGCTGAAAGCAGGTACCTGGGGTTTGTTTAGCTTCTATAATTGCAACATTGTTGCACCTGGAGCTCAGAGCTGGGCCTCGGCAGGCGGGGAACCTTGGCTTCCTCCATTGCCGGGGCAACCAAGCCACATGTTCGCTTTAGCTGTGTGGCTGCCAGCCGCCATCTCGGTTGGCAGTTCATTTGCATATCACCCTGATTAGCCAATGGGAAGCGTAGCAGAGGTATGGTTAATTACCATGTTTGTCTATTATTAGATAGGATTAAATTTTTACATATTTATCTGCAATCAACTTATTCTGCCCATTACTGTTCCTTCCAGCAACCTGGACACTGCTTTGGTGGTCTTAGGAATCTTTTCAACATAATTATTTCTCAAGAAAAGGAAATTTTGCTTTGAGTATTAAAATGCATACAAGGGCCCTAACTGGTTTGGCTCAGTGGATAGGGCGTCAGCCTGCGGACTGAAAGGTCCCAGGTTCGATTCCAGTCAAGGGCATATACCTTGGTTGTGGACACATCCCCAGTAAGGGGTGTGCAGGAGGCAGCTGATTGATGTTTCTCTCTCATCGATGTTTCTAACTCTCTATTCCTCTCCCTTCCTCTCTGTAAAAAATCAATAAAATATATTAAAAAAAAATAAAATGCATACAAGGTTCTGCCATATTTATTTCATGACTCTTCAAGTGTTTGATTCTTGGTTGAAGATAGAAGTTATCCACATTAGTTAGAGGGGAGTTGTTATCTTCAGAAGTCTTTTTGTAAATCTAAAATAGAATAGATTTTTATCAGAGGATAGTAAAGGAAAACAAAACAAAGCCCACTCTGATTTGCTTAATGCTTCCACTAAATTAAAAAAAAAAAGGCTGTGTGGCATAAAGATTTGCTTTCACATTTACTGAAGCCCACATTATAGGCTGGGCTAGTACAGAACAAGAATACAAATATCACCAGTTGGAATGGCAGCTTTAACAAGGCTTTCCAAGTTCAGAGTCATCATTGTTCATTCAACAGGCACATATTTGAGTATTTACTATGAATAGAGCATTATTTTAGGCACTACTGTTTAGCCATCACACATTTTATTATGAAGCGGAAAGGGAGTTTATATTTCTATAATGTTGGCGCAGTTTTTCATGGTATTCATCAATCTCTTAAATAATATTCACAACTGATTTTTTTTTTGGCGTACACATATGCTCTGGTCTCTCCTATCCAAAGAATGCTTCCTTTGACACTGCTATACTCTTAGCACCTCCCTCTAGTTCCTATATTCAACAGGATTTTATCAGTTACCTATTGCGTTTGAAACTTGATGTTCTTGAAACTTTCCTTTCTCCTGGTTTCTGTGGCACTTTTACCTCCATCTTTCATCTCTCCACTTGTAAATCATTACCGAGTCTCAAGGATTGCAGCTTTTGGGGATCTCCAATGCTGTCCTAATGGTAATAGCCCAATTGGCCTTTTGGGTTCTTTCTAGCTCCTACCTCTCCAGATATACTGTTGTTAGATTTATCTTTCTAGACAAAACTACAAATCATGGCACTCCCTTCCTTAGTCTGCTTCTTCAGATTTCTAGCTCATCACTCCCTGACACATCTTTTTCCAAATTAGCCATACTACTTGATGGCATCCACAGTGATCCAACGCTTTTTTGTCTCTATGCCTTTGCTTTAAGAATGAATAACCGGTCTCCTTTTTCCATTCCTATACCCCGATCTTATCAAATCTCTGCTTGTGGAAATACTACTCATACTTTAAGGCATGGTATATTGGCACACGGGGGGGTTAGACTTCTTATAGCAGCTTACTGAAGAGTTCTAATACCACTCTTTAAATATGAAATCTTCTCAAGTTATTTTAATCAGATGATATCTTTCTTAGTATTTTGTACCAGTTAGTACTTCCTCGGGGCAGGAAGGCATGGTGTGGAATTCATCTTTGTATAATTCATCTTTGTTTCCCACATAGTACCTGACACTTGGAAGGTGTTTAATAAATATGTGTTGAACTGAATTAGGGACCTTAATTTTCAAAAACACTAAGGACAGTAAGATAAATCAGTAACATTTTTGGGAGGGCAAGGACTAGAGCTCTAAAACTGCTCACTTGCTGGATGCTTTAAACAACTATGCTAAGATCTAAATAGCTAAAAGGGAAAGGCATAGTCTTACCACTCTTCTTGAGAAGTTCTCCTTTTCGGGATTTATCCAGGTTTTCAAGAAACTTTTCAAAAACTTTTACATAAGGGCCTAGACTGGTCTTCTTATAATCTAAATTATAATGACCATGCATTAAAATTAGCATTTTGGCAGCAAGAATAACATGAAAGTATAATTTTAAGTTTCTTATAAGAATTCTATACCAATGTTGTCTAATAGAAATATGAGAAACGTATAATTTTAAAGTCTAGTAGCCACATTAAAAAGGTGAAATTGATTTTATACTTTAACTCATCCCAATATTAAATATCTAAAATATTATTTCAAAGTATAATAAAAATGGCTTTCATACTAAGTCTTTGAAATCTAGTATTTTGTACTATTACATCTCAATTTAAATGCTATACTATCATCAGAAATACTTGATCTATATTTAGATTTAAATTATAAAACATGCAATTAAAAAAGTAGGTTCATATACCCCAAATTTCCAAACACACATAAAAGTTTTCTAATAATTAAATCAACCACCAGTTTTTAAATTTAAATCAATTAAAATTAAAAAATTAGCTCCTTAGTTAATACCAGCCAGATTTCAAGTGCCAATAGCCACAGGTGACTACTGTATTAGACAGTACTGCTCGAGCACATTTAACCACATGGACACATCTACTCCAGTAGTCAGGCTTTCTAGTATTAGATCAATATAATCTATTGTTATGTGGTAAGTTCCATGCAACATTTCTTTCTTTATAAAGTGTGGAGGCAGCCAATCGATGTTTTTCCCTTCCTCCCTCCCTCCCTCCCTCCCTCCCTCCCTGTTCCTCTCTTTCTCAAATCAATAAAAGCATATCCTTGAGTAAGGATTAAAAATAAACAAAAAGAGAAACGTCACTATGAGGGCGGAACATCGATCGGCTGCCTCCTGCACACCCCCTACTGGGGATCAAACCTGTAACCCAGGCATGTGCCCTGACCATGAATTGAATCAGCAATCTTTTGGTGCACGGGATCATGCCCAACCAACAAAGTCACACTGGGTGTACTAACAGGTTTATAATGTAAATATCAGCTCCCTGCCTTATTTCTGACCATCTTCTTGAATGGCAACTGATTTTTCTTTCCTAGCACCCATTTCTAACAAATGAACACTTTCATTGTTATTTAGAAATCTGAGGCCATTCCTTCTAAGAGGTCTGCTTTTGGGTGGGGCGGGGGATGAGGGAAGTAGGCTGGGGTCTGAAAGCTCTTAAGTTCTTTTCTTAATTCTCAGTGTTCTGAAATTTCAAATGATGTGCTTTGGTATAGGTCTTTTTCTTATTATGCTGAGCCCTTTTATTTATTTTATTTATTTGTTTTTTATTTTTTAAAATATATTTTATTGATTTTTTACAGAGAGGAAGGGAGAGGGATAGAGAGTCAGAAACATCGATGAGAGAGAAGCATCGATCAGCTGCCTCCTGCACACCCCCCACCGGGGATGTGCCTGCAACTAAGGTACATGCCCTTGACTGGAATCGAACCTGGGACCCTTCAGTCCCCAGACCGACGCTCTATCCAGTGAGCCAAACCGGTCAGGGCTATGCTGAGCCCTTTTAATAAAGTACTCATTACAGGGGTGTTTTCCTATGTAATTTTGACAATTATTTCTTCCCTGTTCTATTTCTTTTTTTGAAACTCCCATAGACAGATAACAGACCTCCTGAAACAGTCTTCTAGTTTTAACTCCTAAAAACAATAACCATCACCACCACCGCCACCATTTTTGTATTACTTTCTGGGAAATTTCAATTATTCTTTTCCAACCCTTCCACTGAACTTTTTTTTTTTAATATATTTTATTGATTTTTTACAGAGAGGAAGGGAGAGAGATAGAGAGTCAGAAACATCGATGAGAGAGAAACATCGATCAGCTGCCTCCTGCACATCTCCTACTGGGGATGTGCCCGCAACCCAGGTACATGCCCTTGACCAGAATCGAACCTGGGACCCTTCAGTCCGCAGGCCGACGTTCTATCCACTGAGCCAAACCAGTTTCGGCTGAACTTTTTATTCTAAAGATTTTTTATTTTTAAGACCTCTTTCTTGTTTTATTTTTAAATTTTTTTATTTTGACATCAGAGAAAGAGGAAGGGCGAGAGAGACACACACATTGATTTGTTGTTCCACTTATTTATGCATTCATTGCTTGGTTCTAGTATGTGCTCTGACCAGGGACTGAACCCACACCTTGGTTAGGGAAAACTCTCTAACCAACTGAGCTACATGGCCAGGGCTCGCTCTTGTTTTATGCGTGTTTCTTTTTTACAGTATTCTGATCTTACCTGATGGATGCATTGTCTTCTTATTCTCTGAGATATTATTTTTAAAATTTTTACTGATTTCAGAGAGAAAGGGAGAGGGAAAGATAGAAGCATCAATGATGAGAGAAAAATCATTGACAGCTGCCTCCTGCATGCCCCATTTGGGGATTGAGCCCTGCAACCTGGGCATGTGCCCTGATTAGGAATTGAACTGTGATCTCCTGGTTCATAGGTTGACGCTCAACCACTGAACCACACCCAGCTGTGCTGAGATATTAGTGTTTTTAAAAAAGGTTTCCTTTGTTCCTTTCATTGTCTCTTTTCTCTGAGTTCCCTTTTCCTTTTCTTTTCTTTGTTAATCCTCACTTGGGGATATTTTTCCATTGTATTTTAGAGAGAATGGAAAGGAAGGGAAGAGACAGAGAGAAACATCAATGTGAGAGAGACACATCGATTGGTTGTCTCCCACATGTGCCCTGACCAGGGCCAGGATCAAGCCTGCAACCAGTATGTGCCCTTGACTGGAATTGAACCTGGGACCTTTCAGTCCGCAGGCTGACGCTCTACCCACTGAGCCAAACCAGCTAGGGCTCTCTGAGTTTCTTTTTCCAGTTTACTGGTATTCTGATTTTTCAAATATTTTGAACAGAATACTTTTGTAATTACTACATAAACTTTAATAGTGGAATGTACTATGTTTAGGTATTATGTTAGAGCTGGAATAGATAAAGTGATATCTGAGCTTGGGCTTTGAAAGAAGGGTAGCAATATTTGACTAAAAAAGGTTAAACAGAGATCACAGATCTGCTCTGCCCATTATAGTAGTCTATATAAAAAGCTTATGTTAAAATGAGACTTCAACATATTAACCTACCTCTGGTTCTATGTTTGTTATCAGATTCAGCTTTGTTCTCCTCTTTTTCTTCTTCATTAGTGGAAATAGCATCTAATTCATGGCAGATGGAGCTACAAATAACAGAATAAGAGAATTTTAAAGTTGGTTCTTGGTCAACATTACCCAGAGTATCATAGCACATGAATCTCTCAAGATTTTCTGTGAAAAAATCATGTGGCCAACTAATTTGGGATATTCTAAAAGCCATAATCTCTTCTCAGAGTTTTACATGCATATTAGCATATTAAAGTCTGGAAAACCTTTTTTTTTTTTTTTTTTAATAATTAAAAGAGCAGATACTTAATGTCACTCATTCTCCATCATGAATAACTCCACAGGTTGAGAGGCAGGAAAATGTTGAAGTAATGCAACCAATCCAACCACTGAATAGAATAGGCTGGCTAAAACTGGCACAAACACCAAATTACTTTTGCATACACTGTCCCCCCTGCCTGGCCATGAGCACAGTCAGGCAAGGTCTACGGGTATGCCCAAGACTGGGAAATCTTGCAGTACAGAACTTTTAATCTGTTTAAGTCAGCATTTCTCAAACTTATTTGAACTTAAAAATCTTTTTCTTTTTTTTTTCAAATTATAAGAGAAAGTCTATTTAGAAAGTTACAGAGAGAGTAAAAGTGAGCTAGCTGGGCTGTGTAGGCTTAGGAAACAAGTTACAGAGACAGAAGAAGGGCCCTTAGAGCTTAGCAATAACATACCTGGGGGAAGATGAAGATGCCAGTGTGCTCCTGAGAGGGAGAGCACACTTTTTCTTGCATAATAGCAGCTGAAAAACTAGTGCTCTGTGGAACTCACGAGGAAATGTTGCTCGACTAGGGCATCATCATATAGCCTCAGAGCGGCTGACTCTCTGGCAGGGATCTAATCCAATCTACTTCAAATTCAGAACAACAATCACAAACAGAAAAGTGATCAATGATCTGGAACATACCTTATGGTTGGAACAGTAAACGGATCAAACTGATCCACTTTCTGTAAATCAATAGGCACTGAAATTCGACCTGTAAGAACCAAAAGTTATAAATGAATGATTGTGAATACAAATCATTATAGGCTGTTTTGGCTAAAATTTTAATTAGAAAATTGAAATTTAGAAAAAGGGTTAGACTTATCTTTAAATACAGTAGGAATATAATTTAAAAGTACTTTCATATTAGCTGTGTCTTTTATTTTTCTTAAAAACACCACCAAAACATAGGTGTGAAAGACTGTTAAGCTATTACCTAGTTGCTCTTATCTATACCTTTATTTCTATCTCCCTCTTCCTAATATCCTTCTATATTTAAGTAGAGAATAATCTCAAATTGAGTAAATCTTGAAAATTGAAATGAAATAGATGGAAAGAGTTCATTTTATTACCTTAGTTTATGTGCTGAGATCAAAACAGACACCTATATGTTAGGCATCTTGAGAAAGCATTTTGGAAATAAAACAGACATTATACTACCCTTTTATAATATTCACACCTGGGACACTACATAAAATTTGTCACACCTCAAAAATTAGATAATGAATGTAAAGAATGCCAGGTGAATAACAAATAGAATAATTAGAAGAATTGAGAGTTGATATTAAAGACAGAGTAAAAAGACTGCAGCTAATTAATGGGAAAAGGATATAATTAAAATGTATTCACTTATTAATGGACACAATTATTTACCCGAACCTTGAAAATTAGAATAAGGGGATATCCAGTGAAGCTTTAGAATTAAGCTTAAAATTTAAGCTTATTACTAAAAGAAGCTAAAAACATAGTTGACAGGTTTGAAAAAGAGCTACATAAATGTATGGACTAGTTATTAAGGGAAACTAGGCAATTTGGGAGAACTGACTATGTGACAATTTTCTAAGTGCTTCATATTTTAGATGGTCACAATAACCCACTGAGGTAGGTACTATCATTATCTCCATTTTACAGATGAGAAAACCAAAGCACACAGAGTAATTTCCCTAACATCCCACACCCAGTGGCAGAGTTGGATTGCTGACACCAAAAAGGACAACTATATACTTTTCTAATGGATGGAGTAAAGTTATTCCAATATAGCCACTTTATACTTTAAAGTCAGTTTCAGTCCATCAAATCTTATCTAAGAGAAATGTGAAAGAGAAAAGCTAAAACTATTGAAAAACTACTGAGGGAGGCAGCATGGTGGAAAAAGCATAGAACTTTTGAGTTTTCAGAAATGAACTCTGTTCCTAGCTCTAAAACAATTTGTTTTTAGACTGTGGACAAGTCACTTTAACTTCTTGGGCCACTGTTTCCTCATCTGTACAATGAGAACTATTGTCCTGTAACTTCTAAGTTCCTTTCCAACTCTAATTCTAACACTGAACCACAGAAACGCAACTGAATATGTAAACTCATCCAGTAGCTACTAATCAACAATTAAAAAAATAAGTTAGCTCAGCTGGTTTGGGTCAGTGGCTGAGCATTGACCTATGAACCAGTAGATCACGGTTGGATTCTTGGTCAGTGCAAATGCTCATGTTGCAGGCTCAATCCCCAGTAGGGGATGTGCAGGAGGCAGCCGATCAATGGTTCTCTCTTATCATTGATGTTTCTGTCTTTCTCTCCCTCTCCCTTCCTCTCTGATATATATATCTATAAAAGTTAACTTAGGTATTAACTGACAGAACAAGGCCTCAATCTTTAATATGTCAGGCATCATATGTATTCACACCTAGTGGCATGCTTGCTAAAACAAAAAAGTAACTTTCATTTCTTTTTTAGTTCCCCTTATTTTCTTTTCATAGTACCTGTTTTAGGATGAACACTAAAAGGGCTCTTCAGCAAATGATTGATTCCTTTGCTAACATTGATATCCAGCCGTGGAAAACAGTACTGGAGCATGATCTCCCACACAAGCAACTGTCCACTTCTGTCATTCTAAAAGGAGATGCAAGTCCAGCATGAGGATCAGTAGGAACTTTTGAGGATTTCTTTCAAAGTGGTTAAAAGGTGATCTCCAATCATCTTTAACTTAAATGGCAAAAGAATCAGAGTTTAAGAATTATATTATTATATTTATAATACAGATTTCCATGTTGTATACCGGATATATGGCCTTTTTCTTCAAATGCTCCCAACGCTGAAGTGAACTGTGAGGCTTTTGGAAGATTTCTTGAAGGCCATCATGCATTGGTGATGGGTCATTAAGGAACATAATCATTTAGGGCACATCAACAAACAACTTATTTTCTGTATGTATTACCACAAGAATATCTAGTTTAGATAGAAAATAATTCTTGTTTTCTAAAATGCAACTATTAAACACTAAAAAATAACCCTGTAAAAATGAAGTGGTGATATGACAGAAAGAATGTCAAAATAACTATATAGGTTAATTAAAATCTTTCCCTGGTCTGTACATATTTTGACTAAATGATTCAGCATTCTTTAAATAATCATTAATCCTAGGACTACCAACTTCCATAAAGAGGAAATTTGTTTATGAAATGGCCTCATGTCTTATTGTATTCCAGAGTGGAGATAGAAAAAATGTAGAAATACAGGAGATGTTTTGTATAAAAAAGATTAAACGTATAAGTATATGAGAAAAACATTAGAAAGATTGTAAAAAAAAAAAAGATTAAGTACATGAGAATATGCAGGCAGAACACATATATAATATCAATACAAGTAGCTCACATAGAAATGGTCTTGGGAAAGGATATTGTCAGGAATAAGAGCTAAAATCTTATCACAGCTTTCTTTACTTCCAAGAATATCTTGATCAACCAAGGCATATTCTTCAAAGTATTTACTTATTATGTTTATAGATTTTCTGTAGGAATAACAATAACAAAATCTCAATACTACTAGCAACACATACCCCACAATAACTTTTGTTGCTATTTAGACTGAATTTCTAGAACTTAACTAGGTAAAATGGGACTAATACCCTTCTCACAGTTATGAGAGTTAAGTCTAAGGGGAAAGAACCTAGCATAGTGCCTGGCTTAGAAGAAATATTCGAGAAATGTTTACTTCTGAAACTCCACAGCTTAGCAGGTTAACCACATCATAAATACAGGGGTGGGCAAAGGTAAGTTTACAGTTATAAGAAAAAGTTCATTCTTGTATTACATATATTTCCATACGAACAACTGTATACCTACTTTTGTCCACCTCTGTATATAACAAGGATAGGAAGCAACCAATTCAGGACAACATAATACATTAGTAGTAGAATGTGGGATAGTCTACAGTTTCTACTCTGAATTGCTTGTTTTAACACCTCAGCAATTACATAGTGCTTAGCAATCTGCAAATAGAGTTCACATCTACTGTTTCATTTAATTTTTGCCACAATTGTAAGATGGAGCAGATATTATTCTCCCCAATATACAGATAAGGAAGTAGAGGCTCTAGTATTTTGTTAAGGTCAGAGTAATTGTCAGCATACAGACCTTACTCCTAATGCAATGCTTTTTCCACTGTCCTAGAGAAGTAGTGAATTCAATGGAAGAAGTATGGGTATGGGATCAAGCAAATTATATAATCCCTCCAAATCTCACTTTGTTAAGTGGAGACACCATCATATCCCTCATGGGGTTGTTGGGAAAACCAATGATGTAGCACACAAGGGACACTGAATTAATTCTAGCTATTATTGCAAAATGCTACCCAGCAGAGAAAATTGGTAAGGTGTATAGAGCAAGAACAGAGCCAACTTTTTGGACAGCTTTGACAATCCAACATGGAGTCACTGTCAGCCATGACAGTGATGTCAAGTGCTAAGCCAAGACTGAGGTAATGGGGTGTAATGGGAACACCTTTATGAAGGGACTGGAACGCCCAAAACCACCAGTCTGGACGGATAAGGACTCCATATGGACACTGCTATTAGTGGGATAATCACAGTGGTGGGCTATAAGAACTCCGAGCTCCAACCACCCAAGGCTGGGGCCCGGCTGTACCCCGGGTAACACTCAGAGCCCACTCCACCGGCTGCGTGCTGCATTTCAGCTGCCTGGCTTGAGACTGACACCCATCTCTCCACGTGTGGATGCTGCCAGTGACTGGGACTTGCCTGAGGAATACTCACACTGTTGGTTTCTGTCAGGTAAGCTCTTCCTTTCTATGTGAACCTGCATGGGACTCTACCGGCTTATTAGGAGGTCTCCCCTAATAAACCTGGCACTGTGGAAGCCAAACATGTGTGAGTGACTCCTTTCGGGGATGCTTCCTTGCTCAGGACACAATGTACTACAAGCATGTGCAGGTAAAGCAGACACAACTTAAACTGCATGGAGTCTTTTCCAACAGACCTGACAAAGGGGTGAATTTTTTCACTTAGGTGAACTTTCTTTTTAACATCTTGACCACCCTGAAAAATAAACCATCAAAAAAGACCTTTATGTATATTATATAACATAAGTGAAATAATTAAAATATTTCTATAATGTGTTCTAAAGATATTGATTAAATTGTGTAAAATAGAAAAGCTTATATGCTATTTTATATAGTTTCAATACCTATAACTTTCTGGGTTAACTTTACTTGACTTAATTGAACAAGAAAAGTAAACTATTAATCTTCCTTTTGCAACAAAGGAGGATATTTAAAACAAAATATGAAATATCTTTAAAAAATATAGCACTGATTTTGATTGATGTACTAGTAAGATCACCTACTCTGGAAAGTGGATGCTATAAAAGATAGTTTAATTTTTTTAACTAAACATAATCTGCTTGGTAACATCTAGCAAAAAAATACAAATTATCATTAAGAAGAGCTTACCTTTACAAGACTCAAATACTCAACTATCCCAGACCGCACTGCGGAGGACAGTTTTCTAACCGAGTCATCACAGACCCAACAATGAACACCTCTTCTTCCAGAATATACCCAGAGGCGATGCTTAAATCCAAAGTCCTCTGAGGAGGGGAGACATAACAGGTTTTAAAACAAATGTATAAACTCCTGGTTCTTTCTTACTTCCTATTTTCATTTTTTACCTCTTGTCCACATGAACTCACTTTAACTATACTAAACTATTTGTAGTTTCCCATCCCCTTCTCCCCCATGCTCTTGCTTTTGACTATCTATCCTGGTCTTTGACAAGAATTTCCTCCTGCCCCAGCACTTCCATTTCTCTCCCTTAAAGACCCAGTCGAGGGATATTAAAGGAGTTAATAAATTTTTTTTTTTGCAAATGGCTTTAAAAAAAATTTTTTTTTATTGATGTTAGAGAGGAAGGGAGAGGGAGAGAGATAGAAACATCAATGATGAGAATCATTGATTGGCTGCCTCCTGCACGCCCCCTACTGGGGATGGAGCCTGCAACCCAGGCATGTGCCCTTGGCCGGAATCGAACCTGGGACCCTCAGTCCGCAGGCCGACGCTCTATCCATTGAGCCAAACCAGCTAGGGCAGGAGTTAATAAATTTAAAGGGCTTTGAACAATGCCTGGCACATAATAAGACCCTATTTTATTATCATTCTTTCTTTTATTTTTAATCCATACCCAAGGATATTTTTTCCATCGATTTTTAGATAGTGGAAAGGAAGGGAAGAGATAGATACGGAGAAATATTGATGTAAAAGAGACACATCATTTGGTTGCCTCCTGCATGTGCCCCTGACTGGGTCCAGAATCAAACCCGGGACCCTTTAGTGTGCAGGCTGATGCTCCAACCAGTGAGCCAAACTGGCTAGGGCTCCACTGATTTTTTTTTTTTAGTGTGGAAGGGGGCAAGGTTGGAGAGAGGGAAGGGAGACATCAATGTGAGAGACACATCAATTGGTTGCCTCCCACAAGGGCCCTGACCAGGGCTGGGGATCGAACCTGCAACCGAGGTATGTGCCCTTGACGGGGAATTGAACCCGGGAGACCCTTTGGTGTGCAGGCTGACACTCTAACCACTGAGGAATATTGGCCAGAACTTTGTTATCATTATCACCTCTTCTGGGAAGCCTTTTCTGATCCAATCTCTTCCCATTCGTATATCCACTCCTGCTGTCCTATATTCCCAAATGTAATCCTCAGTTTTCTTATTTGTCTCCTTCTTAGACTGTGTAACCTACTTGAGGTAAGAATTGTTCTTTTGTATTTCCCTCATGTAGGACAGCACCTAGCACATAGAGTTGCTCAACAGATAATTGAATTGGGAAAAAACTCACTGGTTTGATCACAGCTTTATTAGAGTTTCAACTCTAACTTTATTGTAATCTTTTATTTTCCGATTACATGTTTTAAGGAAACATGTTAGAAATTTATGGGATTTGATTATAACATGGTATAGATAGAGTAATATTTAGAGGAAAAGAGATTCTTACATTTGACCCCACTCAGACACTGCTGATACTTGCCCTTCAATGCTCGGTCGATGATGCGTATGGCCATTGTCATGAGGGTCCAGCACTTAGAACATATGTCTGCAGAACTGGAGGAGAGTCATCGTTACTCACTGTCAATGATATCACCCACTCTACCAACAAAGCCTGCGGTGCTTACCTACAGCATCTCCTCACATCATCATAGTCTGTCATGTCGATGTCAAACACCAGTTCTTTTTCCTGAGCCTGGAAAGCTCCCAGCTTCACTGTATTATGTTGATTGGGCTAAAAGTACAAAATATCAATCAGTTTCGATAAGAGCTGCCATGCTGCCAAATATGCTTGAAAAAGTGACCAAAGAAAAGTGAGAAACCATATAATGCCAAGCTGATGTCCGTTCATTAATTCAGATCCTATACATCCAGAATTGATGAGTGTAACTTTCATCTACTTAAAGCAGGGTTTGGTAAATACATATTATCATCAAATTTTTCCCCCTAGTTCTACTGAGATATAATTAACATTTGATATTGTATAATAAATATTTCACCAATAGAAATAATAATAAAGCCTTTCTAGGTTTCTGATAAGGAAAAGTACCTATAATTAATGCCCTATTGCAAGGCATTCTTTTTTTTTAATTGAGATTTTATCCTTTTATTTAATTTACTTATTTTTAATATATTTTTATTGATTTCAGAGAGGAAGGGAGAGTAAGAGAGAAACATCAATGATGAGAGAGAATCATTGATCGGCTGCCTCCTGCACACCCGCTACTGGGAATTGAGCCTACAACCAGGGCATGTGTCCTTGACCGGAATCAAACCTGGGACCCTTCAGTCCACAGGCCGGCGCTCTATCCACCGAGCCAAACCGGCTAAAACTCAAGGTGTTCTTAAGGATCTTTATTTGTTGCTGGACATATAAATAACAAAAATGTATTTTAAACTTTTCATTAATTCAAAAAAATTTCCCCAATTAGTTTGAATTGAGTCTTTGGCTCAGGCTGTAAGTAGTCTCCTTTGAGGTTATGGGTTACCAGATAAAGAAGACCGATAATACAGACACTTATTTTGATCCATCCAAACCTGAATGAAAATGATAGTGAAAGGTTTTTTTTTCTTTTAGAAAGGCACAATAAGCCTTTAGAAAAAAAAACAGAGAGGGGACAATACCACCATGATTTCAATATATATATATATATATATATATATATATATATTTCAGAGCGGAAGGGAGAGGGAGAGGGAGATGGAAACATCAATGATGAGCGAGAATCATTAATTGGCTGCCTCCTACACGCCCCCTACTGGGATGGGCCCTGACCAGGAATTGAACCATGACCTCCAGCTTCATAGGTCAATGCTCAACTGTGGAGCCACTCCAGCTGGGCAATACCACCATGGTTTTTATAAGGAGACCCATAAAAACTGAATCTTAAGCTCTCAGTAAGGAAAGGTAAGTAACTCTCTCCTTTGATCTTGGTCTATCTTGTGTCTTTTACGTTTCTCTATTTTTATCGTTATTAGTATTAATCCTCACCTGAAGACATGTTTTTATTCATTTTAGAGAGGGAAAGAGAAACATTGATGTGAGAGTAGAAAGAAGATGGAGAGAGAGAAACATCAATGATGAGAATCATTAATGGACTACCTCCTGCACACCCCCTACTCAGGTATGTGCCCTTGACGGGAATCGAACCAGACCCTTCAGTCCACAGGCCGATGCTCTATCCACTGAGCCAAACTGGCTAGGGCATGCTTGCTGGCCTTTTTTCACATGTCTTCTCTTCTTCCTCTGGGATTTATAGTCAGAAAACCCGCGTTCAAGTCCCCACTCTATCATTTAGAAATTGTGTGACCTAGGAAAAAATTATTTGAGTTCTCAAGGCCTGTTTTCTCCTTTGTAAAAAGAACAGTGAGAATTTCTATGAAAAACAAATTATACATCTGAAAAAGTTCCATACAAAATCTATTATCCCATGTGTGTATTTTTCCTCCATGTGTGCATTTTTAAGGAGAGGAAGAAGGGCAATTTTGGTATGTTCATTCATTGAACAAATGTGTACAGTGTAGCCCTAGCTGGTTTGGCTCAGTGGATAGAGCGTGCGCCTGAGGACTGAAGGGTCCCAGGTTCAATTCTGGCCAAGGGCATGTGCCTGGGTTATGGGCTCGATCCTCAGTTGGGGAAAAGCTGATCGGTGATTCTCTCTCATCACTGATGTTTCTATATCTCTCCCTCTCCCTTCCTCTCTGAAATCAATAAAAATATATTTAAAAAAATATATGTACGGTGTACTCTCTCCACCAGGCACTATTTCAATGGCAGGGAGACAGGAGAGATGGAAGTCTGCAATAGGCCTTACTGAGTAAGGACTTGAAGGAAGTGAGGGAATGAACCAAGATATTTGGGGAAATAGGTTCTAGAAAGTGAAACTCTTGAGCAAGGGTAGTGTGGCAGGGATGGGGTGAGTGACAGGGAGAGAGGGGCTTTTACTCTGAGTGAAATGGGTAGCCACTGGAGAATGGTTTTGAGCAGAGGGATCACAGGATCTGACTTTTTAAAGGATCACTCTGACTGCTGTACTAAGACTAGACTCTAGAGCAGTGGGTCCCCAACCTCTTTTTGGCCATGCCCCACCTAAAATCCTGATGCCCCCCCAACCCATGACATAAAATTCTTATTATTCAAAAAGTGAACATCTATTCACGTGGAGGAAGCCTAAAAGGCCATTAACTTGGTCTAAACAAGCTTCCAAAGAACGTGGTATCCATGAAAGAGAAAAATAAAAGAACAATAGGACAGTTGAAATACTGAGGAACAAATCACTAAGAAATTGTTAAAAACAAAACAAAAGGAAGTGACATTAAAAAAACAGCAAAGTTTTAAGAATTGAAATGCATAAACATGTCACCATATATATACTGTATCTGAGGCCCCTAGAACCATAAGAAATGCAAAAAATTCACTGTTAATAATTCATTCTCGAATTGCCCCCCCTCCCTAAAAATCAAATTGCCCCCCTATGGGGCGTGTGCCCCACGATGGGAACCACTACTCTAGAGTTTACAGGAGCAAATTGTCAGGAAGTTTTTACAGTCATTCAGATGAGAGATGATGATGATGGTAGTAGCACTGGAAGCACTAGTTGGATGTTAGGTATTATTATGGTAGAGAATTCCTAATACAAAGGATGCAGGGGTGCGAGGGGAATGAAGAATAACTCCAATGCCGGGAGAGAATGTAACTCTCTTTTAATACCCTTCCTTAAACCATGCTGATTTCCACATTTAGTCTTTCGGCCAGATACTCAAATTTTTTTTTTCTTTTTTGTCTTAGGGAGAATACAACCAATTCACATACAAAGTATTTCCAGTCAGTAATGAACAGTATCAAGGAACAACAACAAAAATTGCAATCAACTTGTAAAAACAGTTAAATAAGTGTTGCTCTTCTAATAGAATAAATTATAAAAACATAATCACAAAACGCTGGGGGTTCTTGGTGCTTTTAAAAAACCCACAACATACATAAGACCCGAATTCCTTACTCTGTGGGAATATACCGCTCCTATATCAATCTTGTATGGATTCATTTTCTGCATCTCCTTTTCCAGATCACTCTGGTTGTTGAAGGATTGGTAGCGAATGTAAATGTCATCTTTCAACGTGAATGAAAATTCACGGTGTTGAAAGTAATTCTTTATCACTGCAAATACATGTACATTTTAAAGTTAATTTGGTAATTTTAATAAGCCCTTTACTGTGCTACATGTAAAAAAAAAAATAAAAAAGCCAAGACCTAGTCTCTCATTTGAAGGGGCTTATTACCACACGGAATCTCACAGGGAAAAGTAAAAATGAGAAAATGATGCAGAAATATTTTAAATATATACCGCCCCCTCTGTCTCCTCGGTGGGCACTGGAACATCCTCCCGCGACCAGTTAAGTGCCTCTCCTCCTCCGGGAGGTGCCCCTCCCACCCCGATGCAGCTCATGCCTCTGCGACTTCATCCTACGACCCGATAACCCCTTGCTCCGGCTCAGGCGCCGAAGGTGGGTCCGGCCACGCAGTGGTAGGAGCGGCGGCTCAGCCTTTGAGAGTGGCCGCAGGCTGGTCATGAAGTCCTCTCTCGGCCCCTTTACATTTCAGCGGTGGTGGTGGTGGGGCTCGAGATAATGCCTGGGCACTACATCTGGACAGGCGACAGTACCCTCCCCGAACCCCTTCACATTCCCTCCCCGGCCTGCTACCACCCGCTCCCCGCCGCCATCACCTCCGCCATAGTTGAGCCAGCGGTAGTACTGGGCGTAGGGAAAGAGCCTCCGGTAATAAAGCTTAAGCAGCTCGGGCAAATCGGCTGGGTCAAACGCCTCCATGGCGCGCGCTACTCAGGCCCGGCAGGATTCTGCAAGAATTGGCGGGAACCACACAAGCGCCTCCCCCACTGCGCCGGCGCAGCGTGGCCGCGGCCCGCCGTTTGCAGGGGTCGCTGGGAATTGTAGTTGCCACCTGGGAGGTTGGCCTGTGGCGTGGGCGGCGCTCCCGGTGTCCCCGCCCACCCGCTTCCACAAAGGGTCCTCTGCTCAGGTGCAGGGAGGAAGGCCGCGCCCATTCCAAGGAGATGGTCTGCGGAAAGGTGAGCCCTGGAGCATATTGACTTAGGTTATAATGAAGGAGTAAAAAAGATGTTCGCTAATTTATGAATATTGTAGAAAGAATACATTTAAACAATGTGAAGCAGTATATTTTAGAGGGTCTGGATATTAGTTCTTCATAGGATTACGGGGTCCAATAGGTGGAAAAATTTCTCAACCAAATGGGAAAAGCAAAGGCTATTTATTCAGAGCTTGCTATATCGCCAGGGAGTCAGCTGCTGTCACTTGCATTTTGGCACCGCCTAAAAGGCAGGCAGAGGAGAGGGAGAGCTTTACGGTGGAAAAAGGTTTCAGGTGTGCACTGATTCAAGGCTATTTGTATGGGGAAGATGTAGGTGGGCTAACTAGGAGTGGGGCATCCCATGTGATTTGGTTACAGGTGCCTATTGGCTTTTTTTCCCCTGGTTGGTCCTAAGTTAGAAGTGGAGACAAAAATTAGGGAAGTTGCCAGTTATTAATCAGCTTCTGGCCAATTTGGGCCAGTTGTTACAGGGATTATTGTTTGGCTTCCTGGACTGGCACTAGAGACAGGGGTCTGATTTATAGCAGGCTGGCTTCCTGGGCTATGTATTATAGAAAGGAGGGTCGGTTTCCTGGGTACGCTTCTGCAAGTTGTGGGTCAGAGTTCTGTTTTTATTTATTTATTTATTTTTTAAAAAATATATTTTATTGATTTTTTACAGAGAGGAAGTTAGAAACATCGATGGGAGAGAAATATCGATCAGCTGCCTCCTGCACACTCCCTACTGGGGATGTGCCCGCAACCAAGGTACATGCCCTTGACCGGAATCGAACCCGGGACCCTTCAGTCTGCAGGCCGACGCTCTATCCACTGAGCCAAACTGGTTAGGGCCAGAGTTCTGTTTTTAAACATGGTCTGGCTATTGTTTGTTTGTATATTCAGTCTCTCAAATAGAACACACAGGAATACTAAAACTGGATTTAGAGGAAGCTTGCAGAATCATGGAGAGCTTGACAAGATGAAAGGAGCTTGCGTGCTACAGATCTGCAGACCTGCCAGTCAGTCTTGCCTGGTCTCCTCCTTGCAAACGTGGACTGTGGGTGGGCAGTCTGATAGTAATCATTATCGTGTTACTTTAAAACCATCATTTTCATGAATTTTATTTTATTTTTTTAAAAAAATATTTGTGTTGATTTCAGGGAGGAAGGGAGAGGGAGAGAGAGAGAGAGAAACATCAATGATGAGAGAGAATCATTGATTGGCTGTCTCCTGCGCCCCCACACTGGGGATGGAGCTCACAACCGGGGCATGTGCCCTGACCGGGAATCGAACCGTGACCTGGTTCATAGTCGACACTCAACCACTGAGCCACGCCGGCTGGGCATGAATTTTATTTTTATAATAATAGTAGGAGAGCAAGGAGGGAATAGTCTGTAGTAAGTTATTATTAGCCTAATCTTGAAAATGGTCCCTCAGCTCCTGTGGGCAGTGTGGTTAAAAATGGGCTCTGGGAAGATCATACTTATTTGAATATTCCTAGAAATCTGGCTTCCTGCACAAATCTTATTTGATTTTCACAATCCCTACCCTGTTTTGGGTAGGGTGAATTTCATTGCTGGGAAGGTTTTCACTATAACACATGTAACAAGATGCACCCCCCCTCCCCCCCCCCAGAGTGTTTCCGGAACCACATTACCCTGGACTTTTTAATGGAGGTTTCTGAGCTTTCTCATTGCTGCCTTTAGGAACTGACTTCTTTGGGCCATTTGGGAGTCCCCTATTTACATTTCAGGAATACTAGGGAGTGCAACATCTTAAGGAGCTAATACATAAGGGAAGAAAACAAAGGAAGTTATATTTATTGAGTTCCTACTGTATGCTCACTTTATTCAACATCAGTTCTCATCAGGAAAAGGAAAAATAAAGGCTACATTCACTTAGCATTTGTTATGCCAAGAAGTACCATTTTAAGAACTTACTCCCCGTAAGAATATGGACAAATATCCCTATTTTACAGATAGAGAAATACGTAGAGAACTTAAAGTAGTATGTCCGAGGTCACACAGCTAGTAAGGGGGAGTCAGACAGCCTGGCTCCAGAGTCTGTGCGTTCACCTCTTAAGCTACATGCCATGTCTCCTCTACAAGGGGTTGTTGTGAGGGTTAAATGGGGTAAAGGTGCCCGGCACAGTTCATAGTCCAGAACCACTCAATGTGAGAAAGCTGTTACTTGGTAAAAGTTCTCTGGTATAGAGGCTTTTATCCCAAGTGCCACTGAGAGGCAGTATTGCCATTCATTTAGTTCCCTTTGTGCTTCCTCCACAGAGGTGCAAAACCCCTTTGTCGGAGCCTTCTTCCGTTTTCTACCATCCTCTTTACATTTTACTACGTACTTATGTCTACTATCATCCTCTTTGGGTAATCTATCAGCCTACGTCTCTCTCCCCAAGTTCTTTGCAGACTTGGACCCCACCTATGGACTTCCCTTCGAGTTCAACTCCTATTGTTATTCTGGATGTTTTTAGCATGTAAAAGGATGATCTCTTCTCTAAATAGATAGCTCATTTGGTCATTATTTATTTTTTATTTTTATTATTGATTAGAGAGAGGAAGGGGGAAAAGGAGAGAGAGAGAGAGAGAGAGAGAGAGAGAGAGAGAGAGAGAGAAATGCCGATTGTTGTTCCAATTATTTATGTATTCATTGGTTGCTTCCTGTATGTGCCCTGACCTGCAACCTTGGTGTATTAGGACAACACTAACCAACTGAGCTACACAGCCAGGGCCCATTCAGTCATCCTTTAACTCAAGCATTTATTCCATTTATTTCTGGGGAGAAAAAATTAATGGCATGATTTCTGCTTCCAAAAAAGTTATAGTTTGTAGAGCCAATAGACACAAATAAAAAAGTGTGATGAAGTGTTATGGATTCATTCATAACCCAACTGTCTGTTGGCATCAGCATTTTCCTTAAGACTTGGATAAAATTGGTACAGGGAACATAGTCACAAAAGTGTAAATGCATGGCACTTTCAGGACACTGCCAAGAGTTTCATATGGACAGAGCTCAGACTTCAAGGGAAGGCATAGCTGAGAGGTGGGCTAAGAGGCAAGCCATGGCCAGAGCATTTCATTTCCAAGGAGTGTGGAAATAAAAATTATTCATCTTTCATTTTTATTCAGGTTTGGTTAAAATAGAAATAAAATATTGATAATATTAATATTTGATAAAAGCCTTGGGAGTAAATAATCTTGTTGAAACAAGTACTCCTGTTGAGAATTTGCAGAACTCCTGTGCTAGTTATTTCCCTCCCCAATAAGATAGGAAAGAGAAGATTAGAGGATAAGTTCTGTTGACACAAGAGCATAATTAACAGGGAGACTATCTAAGTGGGGCCCATGCCATATTTAAGTTTAATCATGTTAGGTTCTGTCTCTTATTATCATAAATTACTGAAAAGTAATAAAGAGCACCATCATATTTGTTTATGTCAAAGTTTTAGTTTGATCTCATAGGAATGTTTCTTTTAATTACAGAGCAAATGATCACCTCAAAGTCAATAAAACATGTATTATAGTACATTGCAATTGTTCTTCAATCTATATAATGAATTTGACATATGAAATTAAATTTTTTTCACCTGAGTTATTAATGAACCCACCAGATTTTTGCTAAGTTACCTGCCAATATACATAAAGTATAGATTCTCTTGTTAGTCATAAAGTGACATACTCTTTGGGGCTAGCTTTTTCCTTGCAGACTGCTTAAAATAAAGGGTGGCAGATTTGCTCTGGCCTGTGTGGCTCAGTTGGTTGGAGTCACGTCTCATACAACAAATGGTTTTGGGTTCAGTTCCCCGTCAGGACACATACTCGGGTTGTGGGTTTGATTCCCTAGTCCCCATTGGGGTTCGTGTGGAAGGCAACTCATGGATGTTTCTCTCACATCTATGTCTCTCTCTCTCTCTCTTACAATCAATAAAAATAAATAAATTTTAAAAAATGGAGTCAGGAGGCTAGAACAGAGAACTCACACACCTGTCACCAACAAACTACTGACCCCAACAGGAAGAAAATTACCCTTGCCTCTTCCACAGGAAGTAATACTACATTACTACCTCAGCAGAAGGAAGCTTATGCCTTGCTCAGTAACAGCTCTGCTAATGGGAGACTGTCATAATTCAGCCGATGAAAAGTCACTATACTTTGAACTTTCAGTTACAACAGTCCCTCTGAAGTCCATAAAAGAGCATTCCTATCCTGTGTTTTTCTGGACTTAACACATGTTTCACCATCAGCCTGCGTGTCCCAAATAGCAATTCTTTGTTGTTCTGAAATAAACCCATTTTGCTCGAGAAATAACTGGCTATTTGTTGAAGGTCAACAGTTGTATGGTATGGGGGTGTAAATTATGTCTCAATAAAGCTGTTAGTAACATCCTTAAGTCTGGCTGCAGGGTTCAAGGCACAAAGCAGCTGTAGCTCTTTTGGAGAGGCGCGCCAGCATTACCGCTGAGAACCTCAGTTTGCAGCAGCTGATCTCAGGTTGGCAGTTTGAGAAGGCTCTGCTAAAATTAGCCTGCCTTCCCTGGCCCCCAGCCAGCAGGGGTTTTGTACACTAATATTCCAACTTAAATCAGAGGATGGGGCTGAAGTAAGCAGTAGAAGATCGTAACTCATGCATTGTGATTATGGAGGTGATTTCTAGGTAATTTCAAAAGTCATTAAAATAAATTAACCAGGCAGCACTATGTGGATGAAAAGGAAAGAGATTGACAACATACTAGTAGTGTAAGAAAGCTAAATTTTCATTTACC